ATGTTAGGTTTCTGTGTTTTAAAACTTTTGGCTGCAGTATCCAGTTTTGTAGCATTCAAAATCCTCATTCCAGTCCAGAGTTTTCCCTGATTTAGGACATTAACACTAAGTCTCACAAGAACATGTAAGTATTGGTCACCAATACCAAATCAGAGTAACCAGTCTCAGGATTGGCTTCTCTGAATATTGTTTCTTTTTCCTCCAAGTTAGGAGGAAAACAATATAATAAATAATTTATACAACATAGCGCAGAGAACCTGGGAGATGACTGTGTACAGAAGAGGCTGTAATACCTGATTAACTAACTGTCTTCTTTTTCTCTTGTAGCTGGTTCTGCTTGAGGCTGCTCTCCGGCTTTGTCTAGACTTTTCTAGTCTTAGTGGGTGATGTCCCAGCAGCTCTAACATTCAGACCCCAGTAACCCACTAGGTGTGTATCCCTTGGTTTTCTCTGTATGCTTTCCGATATTGCATGGGGGATAACAGTAATTTTATGCTACTCGTCTCTTGTGGCACTTCAGGGTGAAAATATAATTAGCATGCATTACGCTTCAGTTCCATAGATTATTTAAGCCCCAGTTTTGCTTTTGTTCTGATGGTTTTCTTTCCTGTAGAAGCACATAGCTACTGTTTCCATGCATGCTCACAGGCCTTCATGTTTGCTCCTACAGCTGCAGATTTGCTGTTATGTACAAGCTTCTTGTTGCTCATCATAGTACCATCTCTTGTCAGCAGGACCTAGTGGAGTTGGGCTGGGAGAGAGCAATAGTGGGATAGCTACGCTCAGTATTCAGACTGTTGGACCTGAGCAATCCCCTGTGTGCCCCGAAAGCCACTTTCCCTCCCGCTGAGAGATGCCTGTGCGATGTTCTGTAGCCGACTGGTGGGCACTGCTCTCTTCAAACGCAGCTCACTCGGCTACCTGATTGCCTTAAGCAGGCAGAATACTTTGGAAAGTGCAGGGCCTTTGAGGTTCTCCAGGATTGTTAGGATTTAGGTGCCCAAATCTCAGAGAACTTGACCCCCCTTAATCTTAAGGGCTCTTTAAAAACTCTTGACTATCATCTACATCCTGTATTACCAAAATTAGTGTGCAGAGTTAGCTCACTTTTTTTGCAGAGTACCAAGTGACCCTAGGCACGTCAATGTTTCCAAGAGCCTTCAAACCTGGGCATGAGCTGGGGTATTGCTAGTGCATAGGCCCCCTCTTTTTGGGGGGTGATTTTCATCCCTGTTGAGCATTTAAACTGTATTGACTTGCAGGAGGCCATTTGTTGCATTCGTTCTTCAGACGAACAGTCAGAAAAAACAGATCCTCTTACTTTGCTCTAATGCAACACTAATATATTTAGAGTCACGTAGGCAGGAGAGAGATTGCTGCTGTCAGCGTAGCCTTTGACACTCTGTAGGCAAGTGTTTGCTGTGTTTAGAAGTGCAGCCTAAGGAATAATCTTTACCTGGCTGCCTTAGGTCTAATATTTTCATTTATTTATACCGTTTTCAATGCACTTCAATTTATTTACAAATGGTAGCAAATTGCAAGTGGCAGCCTAAGTAACTAACTCATGAGTCAGTACTTTTATTTTTCTCCTCTAGTCTAGACTGCTGATAATGTAAATTGTTGAAACCCTGGGTAAATAATTGGGAGTGCAATCAACAGCAAGCAAGTATTTATCTGCTAATAAAACATTTGAAATGCAGAAGTCTGTCTTTGTCCAACAGTTCTTAAAAGGCAGCTATTGGTCCAGCTGCTGTTTCTGCATAGCAATTAGGATTTTTATGGTCACTAATTGTACATCTGAAAATTTATACGGTTTATTTTCTGCCTGTGTTTTTCTTTGCACAGAGAAAAGAAGCACAATATTTATGATTGTAAGGAGGTTAACACTATATTTTCTGCATGGAGATCTCTGTAGCTCTCTGGAGATTTGTACCATTTATAGAACCCAAATTTGCTAGGTTCTCTCATGTGTGGCATCAAGGGCTTATAGCTCATTAAGGATTTTCTGAATGGGATCTTTGTCACATTCTCAGAATGTGACTTGAAAGTTGTATACCAGCTCAGTCATCAACTGTGACTTTTATTATTAAAGCTGTTACTGCTTTGGAATCTGTATTTGAGGAGGTGCTTCTCAATTTCTCATGCTGCTATTGGTAATGCCTTTTCCTTAAAACAGAAACTTGCATTATATATTCGAATGGGAACCTGTTTTTTTAAATTTAGTTACTATTGTTTGCATCTTGTCGTCTTCTTCCTACATCCCTACTTCATTCACTTTTTGAAGTTAGTCCATGGAAGCACCCAGCCTCGAGCCCCCCAGAGATGACGGCTGTTTCATATCGTAGTCGTGCGTGAGAGAGAGCTGGTTGAGCTGCAGCCAGTGAATTGCCTGAAAGATGGGCCCCTGTGGGGCATGACTGAGGAAACCTGAGTTCCTGCTCTAAGCAGCCTGTCTCCATTCATTAGTCCCTGGCCCGTTCTGACGCTTTTTTGGTTTTTTCCTTTTCCTGGGGCCTGGAGCATCCCCTCATCCGAGGTGTATTTGATCTGTGTGTCAGTCAGGCTGTTCCTCTGCTCTAGCATCAGGGCAGTGATAATTAGTAACCAGGTCGCTGTCTTGGAGAATATGTAGTTAGAAATGCCCCCACCTCAACCCCCATGTGTGTTTTCCCCACAACAGGACTAGTGCCTGGCTCTGAAGTCCCACTTCTTTCGCGCTCCCTCAAAGGCGTCTGTGAGCATGCCTGCACTGCTGGGAGCAGAGACAGCAAACAGAGCTGTCTCCATCTGTGCAAAGCAGGGCTGCACAAAAGCAGAAACATGTGAGTTGGCTGCGCAGGAGCCAGCTTAGGTCTAGAAAGTCTGGCTGTGTCTGTGTGTAGCTGTGCCAGGGCTAACTCGTGCTGAGATGTAGCAGGTGAGTCACGCAGTCCTGCCCTGCGTTGTACAGGCTTCCCGGGAGGCACGCTGTCCTTTTAGACGGTTGTGACTCTCCTTTGCAGAAACCAATGTACTGTCTGAAGGGTTTATAGACTTTTAAAAATCTAGCAAAACAAGGTGCAGAATGGAAAGTCTGTGAAGTTGACAGCTCAGTCTATATTTGACTAGTTTGTGACATCTGGAAAACCCTTTGGTGGTTTTTGGTTTTCTCTCAGAATCTCAGTAGAAGTTAAATCAATGCATAAAGGAGAAAAGTAATTTCTGCTTACCAGTCTGAAAACATGAAAGGCTCAAATCATGGTTAGAGGTAAATATTATGAGATGAATAGATGGTAATCCTTACACCGTTTCCAACGTGATTTCCTATCACCCTGAATTCTTTCAACAGCAACTCCCTAGGAGTTAACCATGAACCACAGAGCTTCTGGCAGGTTATTCCCCATGAAGTCAAGGTGTATGTCACTGGGTTTGGGTCTGTTGCTTCTGCCCCAGTGTCTTTTGGGCCTGGTGGATGATTTCAACCATGTGTGACAAAAGAAGGGAGACCTCAGGCCTACTTAGGAGTTTCCAACAAACTACATGGAAATGCACAGCTTAATATCTGCTAATATCCTTCTTTGGGGAACATAACAGTATGTGACCACATTATCATTAGCTACCAAAGAATCAGCACAGGAGAGAGACCTGATAAATGTAAGAGTCGTGGAAAATGCAGTAGTCGAGGGCGTGCATCAGCTGAGGGCACTGAAGGATGAAATACAAAGCTGCAGGAAACCAGGGCTTGGTCCTACCAGTGCTCATGGAAATCCTTGTTGATAGATGGAAAACAAAGAATCTCTGGCAGCAGGAAAAATCCCTCCTGATTTGCATATAAAGGTACAATTCCTAGGGACTTAACTCTCAGCACAGAATATGAGTTGTTCTTGTATTACAGGAGCTGGACAAAATTCTGCCTCTGTGCTCATATCAGAGGTGCTCTAAGTCGTTTAGCAGTAAACAGTAATAAGCTAGTTCCTTGTTTAGCTTTAGTGAAAGGGTTCTGTTGAAGCCACCGTTTAACCTTACATTATGTTGCTGATTTTATACTCTTACGAAAACATGTAAAATGACATTCAGTTTATAGATCTGTGGAATCAGTGGGGAGTTTTGCTGTGTGCACCATGCATGATAGGGCTTTAAACGGAATACTTCATAACCCTGCTAGAGAAGACATATGGCAGAAGATATATCCCATCTAGCTGATTTCAGAGTTCTTTTCCCTGTGTTGAGAGACAAGCAGCAGTCCTGTGTGTTTTCCATGGAAGATGTTTTATTTTGGCTTTTTTCATTTGCATTATTAGCGAACAGCTGCATGAAGGACTGTTTCATTGGCTGCCACGCTGAAACCATCAGGCACATTTCAACTGCAATTGCACTGTCTGCATTTAAAAATATTTTCCATATTACAGTGTACTCCTACAATTTGAAAATGAAAACTATTTTCAGCTACTGTCTGCTAAACTTGGGAAGGGGTTCCATTCACTTGGAAAAAATGGACACAACTGTTTTCTTGTAGCATGAAGTTTCTGTTTTAAAAATTGTTAAACTTCTCACTTACGCTGTTGAAGACAAAAATTCCAGTTGTCTGTAGTAAGAAAGATTATATTTCTCATTCCCTCCAAAGCCATATCTTTTTTATATATTTCTTTTAGGTACGTTATTATTTGCACAGTGAAATTAGCTTTGCAAGAGGGATGAAAACCCTTGTCAGAGCAATTTTAGCAAAAAGATCTAAAGAATTAAATATAAGTTCTCTCCAAGGTGAGCATGGGGTTTTTTTCTTTTTGGAACCGGGGAGCCTTGCATTAATTACTTTTAATTTAAAATTAAATCAGTGGATGGAAAGGAAGTCTTTTCAAAGAGCATTGCAGTTTGCTGCTTAGAGTGAACAGTATTTCAGCAGGTTGACTAACAATGTGCATTTTTATTTTTAACCTCTGACCTGTGCCCTCCCCACCCCTTTACCTAACCCTTTCCATTTGCCCTGATCAGTTAACAGGCAGGAGCATTTGAAAACAATCATGGATGACTATGATATCAGGTCTGCTGCCAGCATTTTAGCATCTGTTAAAGAGCAAGAAGCGAGCGTGCCAATCAGCCAGCAGACCGCATGAGCATTTGCAACATTGGCAGTGGTCAGCCACTGGCAACCGCCTGGCAGCAGCTTGTACTGCAGGTAACAGCCTGCTCGTTTTACCTGTTGCTAGTGTTCACCTATACCAGAATTTCCTGTTCCAGAAAGTCAGGTGCATCTTGTTTGTCATCAGCATTTCATCCCGTAGCTTGTCTTCTGATACATCAGAGTTGTTATGCTTCATCCATTAATTTGGTAGCCTTGGCTTAGAAGTTGCTCTTACTTCTCTTAGCTCATGGGGTACTTTTAAAAATGGATGCATCCTTGAGCATTGAATCTTAAAGACAGATCTTCACACCCTCTAAATCTATGCACTTTCTGTAAGTATGCTGATGTGCTGCTGACTGAAAAGGAGGCTGAATCATAATCTCCACAGCAAACAAAATTTCCATTAGAAATAGTTGGACTTTGAATAGAAGGAACAGTGTGAAAAGCAGGGATTGCCCTCCTGCGAAGTCGTATTGTTTGTGTAGGGAGGACTTCATAATTTGTTTCTCATGTTTATGGAACTGATAGACTTCATTTTAATGATGCAAACTGGTTTTGTGTTAGCCTTAGATTTCCAGATATTGTTTTGCTTGATATGTGTTCTTTAACTGTTTAAATGTGCAACGATAAAGTACTTACATCTCTAAATTACTTCAGCGCACAAATTGCACTGACATACCAGGTAAGTCATGCAGAAGCAATACTACCGTTTGTGAAGGCCTGTTTCCTAAGAAAACATTGTTCAATTCAGAGAGAAACTCCAGGCTGTGGGCATTCTAAAAGTTGTTTCCCAATTATACCAGACTGTTTTACAATTATACCTGCATTGAGCTGTATTCAGGCAGACTTTACATTATATTATGTTAGCACAGCTTTTCTGTTAACAGCTGCCATGTTTCTGTACGTGTAGACGTTTGAATATGGGACTTCATGTGAAAGGAGCAGCCTGTGCTGGTTAGGCTGAAATCTGGCAGTAGCTGGTAGGAGCTGTAGGTCGTTATCCTCTTGATTAGCAGCTGGACTGGGGAGAGATGCTTACGCATTTTTTTTATGGAAAAAGGACAAGTTCACCTTCACTGTTTCTGAACGACTTTGTGCAAAGTGCCTGATTAATAGCTCCAGAATGAAATTCCTTATCCACAAAACTGATGAAGCATGAGTTTTCTGCAGTGTTATGGCTTAAGGTTTAATCACTTCCAAGAAAACTTAATAAAAGAATTTAAGTTACTAGGATCTGTGTGAGACTTATGGAGAAACAGCCCCCGAAAGTGACCCCAAACTGAATCTCAGGTCATTGCCATTGGGCGGGGGGGCTTTAGCTGATAAATAATTAGTGTTGATGTTTTTAGAGTAGCTCGTATGTGAAATAAAATGGTTGATTAGCTAAATATGCACAGTTAAGAATTAATGTATGGTTATTTGTATGAATTTTCATTAAATGCACTGAGGGCCAAATTCCTCCCCAGCTTACTAGAATTAATTAAATAGCGTTTCAGTGAAGGACGAAAACTGTACATTCAGTCTTATGCAGAATATATAATGATTTCATCTTTGCTATTTTATATTGCATTTCATTGTTAAGAGCACAGAAGGCAAAAGGCACTCTATGCTGTCTGTAAGGATTGCTCACACTCTATAGGGAAATGCAACTATCTCTGGAGCTGTATTTCAGTGAGGACTTGACTAATTTCTGCTCATCTCCGTATTCAACCTTTTGTTGTAAGTAATATTACAAAATAACTCCAATAGTAACTTTTCCATTTGGAAGTTGCATAGGTGATTGTAAGTAATCTAGTTATTTTGAGTAGAATTTGGGCAAAAAATGAGGGTTAACTCCATTTTACAAGAATGCCAAATAATCTTTAATGATCTTCACAACCAGGCATCAGTTTTCCATGTTGTTTGATTGTCAAAGTGGAACCTTTCAAAGGGGTTTGTTAGGGAAGCGTGTATAGTCAGGGCTTTGTTAACAGTTCCTCTCAGGACCTTTTTGTAGTATACGCTCCCAAACTTATTCCCTTCTTAGGAAAGAAAATTAAGTGGGGTTTTTTTGTTTGTTTGTTTGTTTTTTTTTAATATAGTTTTGGAAAGGGAAAAATAGTCTATAGGCAATGTGCTGGCTTCAGTTAGATTTTGTTGCTGAGTGTACAGCCAGTGACATGAATTAGGGTGTTTCAATTCTGGAACTTTTGGAAGATGTGCAGCATTATGCATGTGTTACTGCAGATGCTGAAGTGGTCAAATAAGTGTTCTTCCAGACTAAGAACCCTATGGACAAAAGGGCATTAGCTGCTCAATGAAAATCTTTGCATTACTCTGAAAAATGTAACAGTTAATGAAATTTTAATCATAGAGCTTTTATCTGGTTAATAAAAATCTCCTAAAAAGCTTTCCGGTTTGTAAGGATGTTCTTGACTGTTCCCTGCTAAGGCTTTGAGTGGTGGGAGCCACTTGACTCGTCATTGCTCTGTTTCTGAAAGTGAAAATCTGGTTGTACGAAAAAGAGCAGAGCTGTCTGATAATGTGTATTTGTGTTTGCTTCTCTAATTTTTGTGGTAAAGAATGTAAAAAGTATTTTTTTGGTGGTTATAGTATTCCAGGCTGCGGGAGTCTTGGCAGTCTTTGCCTTTTTATCAGTTTACCAGCGCAGGCATAGTCCAGTAAGCTTCTAAGTCACTGGTGAGTAGCACCTAGCATGTATCTTCTACATGCTAAAGTATCTGGTTGATAATGTTTTTTACAAGCTTGATAAATCTTAATACTCTTCATGTGTGAGGTATTTAGTTTAATCAACCTGGTTCTGTTTCACTTCATTTCAAATCAGCCTTCTGCCGCTCTTCACAGCGGGAACTAAAGCTGGAGAGGGAGAAGATACGGCAGTGCCTGTGTAGGGTATCTGCTACAGTGGGCTGAATGCAGGAAGCTGCAGTATTATTGCTGGATAGCTAACCATTCAGAGCATAACTTTTAAATAATAAAGAATATTCTTTTTTTTTTCTTTTATTAAAACATCAGATGTGAAACTTACTAAGCGCAAGGCTATATCCTGAGTTGGTTTAAACTGGCATGGCTCCATGGTTTTTGGAGAAGCTCTGTCAAGTCTGATCAGCTGGGAAGCTGAACAACAATGTTTGCATTCAAAGATTGTTTCCCCATTGGTACACAATGACAATTTCCATTCCTGTTAATGTTTCATAACCAAAATGAAGTACAGCATTCAATAAACCTCTTTTGCCAACAAATACACTGTAACAATACTTGGACTTTGGTGATTTTGCAGTGACCTATAGGGATTTGAGAGGGGTTCCCATTACAGAAAAGGGAGGTATTATCCCCCTTCTTACAGGTAGGAAAGCTGTGGGAGGTGCCAAATCTCACATGATATTAATAACAGAAATCAGCCGCTTGTGTGCTGGTGCAGTCTTACTTATCACATTGACTCTTAGGCCTGTAAGAAGTGCCAGAAGTTGATCTGAGAAGTCTTCGCATTGACAAAATCATCCAATAATTAAAAATGTATTTCATTTCACTGTTATTTCCATTCTTTTAAGTTCCCTATGGTGGATTTGTGGGGGCGGTTTTATGTTTGTTTTTTTTTCAGATGTATCATCTGGTGCATTTCGCTAAGGAGGTACTGGAATACATTAAACCCAAAATGAATATAGTGTGTGTGCATATATGTTAGTACCATATAGATATTCCCATGTGCTTTTTACAAAGCCTGTTATTAAAAAATCCTATCAGCAGAAATTCACTCTCGTGTATGGTTTTTTTCTTAGAATGGTATTTTTGTTGAAAACCTAGTGGTACTAAATCTGTACTCTTTTTGTAAGTTTTTTCAAACTCTGCTGTACTTTACGGAATACTTTTTACACTTCAAGCAGTGGTTGCCATAAGAAAGAAGCTCCAGTGCAGTCCTGGTGCCACAGAGTTGGTAAAGGCTGCCAAGGAATAAATAGTGACTGAACAGTGGCTGTAGGGTTTGTGGTATGCTGGCTAGAGGTCTGTCCGTCAACTACACGTGCCAAGAGACCTGACTCCAACTCGTTAAGTTACGTCAGTTGTGGTGGCTAGTTTCTTCCCCTAAAAGGAGCGATAAAATAGCTTCTTTAGTTTTCAAAAGCAGAATACAAGTTTTGGATCGTGTTTTGACTTTAAACTTCAATCCAGCCAGTGTCACTGATAAATTTTTGACTTGGCGTTGGGCCTGCAGCTTCAAAGGTTTCATCCTGCCAATCTGTTGTGCTTCCTCACACCATGTAAGAATCAGGCTTGCTGAGATTCTTAATAGTAAAGTGTGCAAATTTCTAATAACCAAGCCAAGCTGAATCAGCATGATGTGATACCGATGAATATAACTTAATAGCTCATATTTATGTAGCTATTACACCTCGTAATATACATTATTGTACAAGCTTCTCACTTGTGGCTTGTGAAGGCAGCTCTGTGTGTGACTGCAATTGCAGTAGTTTACACGGCATGAATATGGTGTTGGAGGCAGAACTGAGCTTGTCTGTGCCTTTTGTAATACTGTGCACAATAATTTGCTCCCTTACACGTGACTGACATGGACTTCTCTGCAATAGGGCTTGTGATGATGCCGTTTGTAGAAGCTTATTAATGATTCACTGAAGCCTGCTCTACAGTCATTTTGTACTAGTTTAACTATTTCACTACAGATTTGGAATTTTTTTTTTTAATCTCTGTTGTTCCTTAAAAGGAAAGAATATAATCAGTGTGATACCAGGTATAGTAAGTTAACTGTTACAAATATATCTTGTGTAAGTCCTATTAGTGGGTTGTTGCCCTTTATATGTGGCCATACTGAAAGTGGTGGAGTTAGAGCAAGGCAAAAGCTGTTGCTTCTGAACCGAGTAAATACATGCAACAACAAATTGTTTGAATACAAACCAGGAAAAAACAACTTAAATTATTTAAGGGATGAGATTTTTGAGTCAGTCTTTTTTTTATTGCCACCGTAATGATTCATTTGTTAAGAGGTATGGCAATAAACACAGGCTCAAAATTCTCTATCGTATTTAATTAGTGTCCTG